TTTTTTTTTCATGATAAAGCATATTACATTAGCTTTAATTTAAGATATATATAAAAGTGTCAGACCTTCCGGAACATTTTCAAAATTTAAGTTAAAAAAATTAATTTTTTGTGAAAAAGTTGTCATTTTAAATCCCCCCTTGTGGGCAGGTTAAGGGTTAAATTTATGAAAAAAATATACCAAATGAAAGGTAATGATATTATGCATCTATATAAAAAAGAATTATATTGATATGTTTATTTTTGAAAAAGTTATGGCACTTTTAAGTAAAAAAAATTGAAAAAATTTCGAAAATTAGCGATTTTTAAATTTGTAATTTTTTTGGAGGTTTCCCCCTTTTACGGGGAACGAGGGAATTTTTTTCAATTTTTAAGGGTAATGTCTTCGACTAGATACGATTTGTGATCTTTTGACGTATCATTGAAAGAAATCGGTTCGGTGAGAGCTGAGAAAAAGTGGTAACAGACAAAAAAAAAAAAAAAAAAAAACACATCTAAGTAAAACCAATACCTTCTCAGCTTCGCATCGAAGCTAATAATGGATCCAATTATGCTACGTCCCCACTGTGCTGGGTTTTTAATAATGTTTAAACTTTAATTACTGATATTATTAAATTTTAAATTTTTTATGTAAAATGTTGAGACCTACACACATACATTTAAAGCAATAATTCGTTTAATATCGTCTTATTTGTGAACGAGCTTGTTAAAGCTAATTGGGAAGGATTTGGACTCAATCATAAATGGATTCCTCCAAATAGTGAGTAATATAATCGATTTACCAAGGCTAATATAGCTGCTGTGAAAAGAAATAGCCTAAGAGGTTGAAGAGAGGAATATATATCAGGATGGTCAGAAGAATGCGATGAATTAAGAGCCCAATTCGACCTAACTGGAGATCCAAGGATAACTGAAGAGTTGCTGAAATTTCTTAATGAGAATCGGAAATGTATCGAAGGGATAAAAATTAAACAATTAATTTTACTCATTCAAGTCGTAAAGCATCGAGCTTGCTAAAGCGCCTTTGTGATGATAACATGCCATCTACCTTATTGTCCTCTATAACACCCAACTGTGTAGTTAGTAGATTATTACAAGTATCTAAGATAAAGCAGGACAAAGTATGGGTTAATTCAGTAAAAAGAGAATTAAGATTGGTTAAGAAGATTTTACCATATGAAAGCACATATGCAGCACCTTTCACGATGGCTGAATTAGATCACTCTTTAAAGATAGTCAAGAAGAACAAATCTCCTGGTTATGATGATATTCAATCCACTTTATTGAAAGCCTTCTCTAGACTTATGAATATTATTATAGTGTTTTTATTCAGTGTAATTCTTCTCTCAAGAATCTATCTCAGTGCTAATATCGTTTCTCGCACTTTACTATAAGCTTTGCGGTATTGATGCCGACTTCTATTTCCAGGTGCTTTCCATGTGTATCTTTTCCTTATCAGGACTTCAAAGTATATATTTGTTACTATTAGTTCCTGTTATTCATAAAATGAACAACTTTGTCCTTCTTTCTTTTCTCTTCCAAAGTCCATATTATCTTGAGAAGTTACTTCGTTCACAGACTATGGAGGCATTAATATCACTTATGATAAATACGTTCGAGTTGTATTCTGTTAATTGCATGAGTTCTTGAATCCGTTCATATGTCTCTTCAATTTCTACATCCGTTACTTCTAGATTTAGGAAAGTATACTTATTTTAAGTAATTGTTTGTAGGATTTGCTTCTATTTTCACCTACAGAAATCTTTCATTTAGGTGGTATGAGCTGTGTACTTTGTCCTTCCACTTTCCTTGTAATTCACTGCGACCTTGTTTCTTCCTCTTTTCTCATTTACACTATGAATGATTCAAAAATATTCAAATATGAAATCATAATTTCTTGCCTATCTTCTGTCACTTATACCAAGTATATCTAGCTTTGCTTTCTTCATTTGTTCTTTTACTTTTTCCAGCCTCCCCGTTTTAATCATTGTCTTCGCATTCCATGTCCCTATTCTAAAAAAGTCATGTCTAGTCTTTCCACAAGGTTTTCGTTGGATGACGACATGAGTAGCCTTGTATCTCTTCATGACAGATCTTGGTGTCCAAATTCCATGATCAGTACGTCTCTCTTCTCTGGTTACCCTGTTGCCATCTGCATCCTTATGGTCGATGATCGACCTTTGAAGGTGACTTTTCACACACAGGACAAGCTATTGCCTTTCTCTTGATACTTCCGCCCTTTCGGCCGTTGGTTTTCAGAGTTTGCTCCTTATTTCGGGAGGTGGTTGAATCACTGGAATTGTCTGCCTAAGACTCCACCAGTGAAACTCAGGACCCTGGATTTGCCATACCCATAGTATATGTATACTACATACTCCCCTAAGGTAATCAATAATATAATTTTATAAAAAGTTCTGTAATAATAATTTTATATTAAGTGAAATAGGTTTGAGTCAATAGGAAATTAATCTCTAGCGAATCAATCGGCTTTATAAAATGATGGGTTGGTCAAAAAATTGTCCCATCCTATTAAAGTTCTAAATGATACCTTTGATTAATAACTAATCAGAGACTATTAGGTAACAAGAATTATTATTGCTTGCTAAAAGTAGAAAATGTGTACACTAGTATCGGGTAATAATAAAAATTGCCTACATAAGGAGATGATTAAAAAATTAATGTCAAATTTGAGTTATTTGACCTCAAAAACATATAATACAATATTAAGATTATATAATAAAAATTTTTTACTATTCAATAGTTAAAAATTAAATATATGATAAATTTTGCCAGCTAAAAGTATTATTCCTCCCACTAATTACGATATGCGCTCGATTCTCGCATAGTCGACCGTGGTTTTGTTAAATAGAAGCGAGGTTTAGTTTGAGGTTAGGTGTAACATTAGTCTAAATGGCATGATTGTCAGTTAAATTTGTAAAATTCTTTAGCTACTTGCTTATTAATTATGTATTTTATAAAACGAGGAATAATTTAAAGGACAACAAATTAACAAAAACTTTATAATAATTTTTATGATAACATATTATAAAATATGATATCATAAACCATAAAATAAATGTTATTATAGTCTTAATCGCCCTCTAACGGTAAATGTACTGGTTAATCTTGCAGTAAAAAAAAAAAAAAAATTCATTTATTTAACTTAAAAGTTTAATCAATTATCTTATTTTTTCTATGTTAGATTTGTCTAACATTTAGGGCACTGGATAGTGTCAAATGTTATTTAATTATTTCGTATTTTTTTTCTTTATTTTTATAATTTTTTTGTAAAATTTTAACTGATTCCAAGAAAAAAAATGTCCATTAAGATCATCAAAGTTTTAACACTAGAGCCAGTATAATAATGGACAGTAGGAAACATTTTACATTTAGTATTAAGAGTTTTGTTATTAGAATTATTCATGTATAATCCAATTAAATTGTATACTACTACATAATAATAAAACATGTATATATCTTTCTATGAGAAACCTTGGTAACGTAACAATAAGAGTATCCATTTGCAATTTAAGTAAATTAGTATGATTGATATAAATATTTTATATTATATTTTAGAGAGAATGTTACATCTAGTTATATATAATAAAAATTAATTAATTTAAAAAAAGTATGTACCTTATTTTATTTTAAAGTATTTAACTGGTTAATACTAACACATTTTGTATCTATTTAGTGACATGGTGGCTTCAAAAAATAAAATTTAAGGTGGTACTGGCGTTATTACTTTTTTCGAATATTTGCGGAACATGTGATGAAAACATATTTATGTCATTAAATGATGATGACAGTTTTCATAATGTCGATACTTATATCATACCAATGGAAAAAATGATTCCATTTTACGAAAAATTAAAAACATTTCAAAACCGTCAACGACAATTGACAAAGAAAACCAATGAATCATTTCCGTCCTTTATTTTCAGACATAACTTTCATAATAAAAAAAAAAAAATCCCACCTAACAATTTACCAGTCTCTACTCCAAAAAAATCCAGCAGCATTCTTTTTACATCAACAACCACATCGTCGCTGGACAAAGATAACTTTGTAAATACGCACATAAAAAACAACAAAAGTATAGGTGTAAAAATAATTGGCCATTATTCATATGACCACACTGGGAAACCATTTAATCACCTTACGTCGACAATGAAAACCGAGCAAAGAACAGTTAGTATTTCAACTTCAGGAGTTGATCGTTATTTGAAAATGGGATGGTACAGTGCGCGATGTTTATTGCTCCAATATCAACGAAAAGATTTGACAGAATCAGAGTTGAAAGTAATTCGACAACGTTTAAAAGATTTGATACAATTTTGGATTAAGGTAGTTGGACTTTCCATAGTATTTATGTGGGCAACGTTCGGGTGCTTTCATGATCTGTTCTGTTGTGGTGCTAGTTTACCTGAAAACTATTCGAAAGAAGTTAATAGGTATTTGATTATGGTACCACCAAATGTAGTTGTAACGTCAAAAGGCAAATTGTATAACTATCAGCCTACGACTGAAGAAAGATTTTTATGGTCAAGTGCAAAAAAACTTGCTACTCTTCGGCTCTAAAATTAATTGAATTTCAAAGTCTAATAATCATTGGCGTAACTAGAATATATTTTTTGAGGGGCTATATATATATTTTCTGAAATTTTAGGGGGTTAATTGTTAGTTTAAAGGGACTTAGACCCTTAATTAGTTGTACCAATGCTAGTCATATGAAATATTTTAAGCTATAATTTAGTTAATATGTAACTAAAAATTTAGGTTGAATGTGTTTGTAATTGCTGTAAAAGTTATAAGAAAATACTTCTTAATTTTAGTCCTTGCAAAAATTAAACTATTTAAATTATATTTTAGAATATAGTTTTTTTGTAGAATATTAAATAATAATTTAAAATCATAAACAAAAATAAAGTACTATGTTATCGAATTCATTTTAAGTCAAATGTTTTATTAGAAATAGTTTTAGCTGTTTTAATTATATTATATTATATAAAATAATAGGGTCAGATTTATAAAAAAAATATACCAAATGATTGGTAAAAACATCAAGCATCTATGAAAAAAAATTATATTTCTCATAAAAAAATGATGTTGATACATACACTTTTCAATAAGTTATAGCATTATAAAGTTAAAAATATAAAAAGAAATTTTTTTACAAAAATCGTATTTTAGCTTCGATGCGAAGTTTTACTATGATGTGTTTTTTTTTGTGTCTGTTACCACTTTTCCTCAGCTCTCTGAACGGATTTCTTTCAACGATACGTCAAAAGATCACAAATTGATTCTAGTTGAAGACATTATCCTCAAAAATTGAAAAAAATTCCCTCGTTCCCCGTAAAAGGGGGAAACCTCCAAAAAAATTACGAATTTAAAAATCGCTAATTTTCGAAATTTTTTCAATTTTTTTTACTTAAAAGTGCCATAACTTTTTCAAAAATGAACATATCAATATAATTCTTTTTTATATAGATGCATGATATTATTACCTTTCATGTGGTATATTTTTTTCATAAATTTAACCCTTAACCTGCCCACAAGGGGGGATTTAAAATGACAACTTTTTCACAAAAAATTAACTTTTTCAACTTAACTTTTGAAAATATTCCGGAAGATCTGACACTTTTATATATATCTTAAATTAAAGCTAATGTAATATGCTTTATTATGCAAAAAAAAAAATTCGGACTTTATTTTATCTTCACTGTGAAAATGGCTACCGAATGAAATTTTTGTATGAAAATTTTCGATTTTGTATTTTACATTTTTAACTTTATAATGCTATAACTTATTGAAAAGTGCATGGATCAACATAATTTTTTATGAGAAATAATATTTTTTAATAAACCCTTTTTCATTTGATATACTTTATCTTAATTAGGATATTAATAATGAACTAGCAGTTTATGAAGCTTTTGGAATAATCCACCAATTTTTTAAAATTAAACACTATCTAAAGATTTGTATCGAAGCGTTTTTTTTGATAGTGATTTTAATCACTGTCAGATATCATTATACTTGATCCATCTATGCCGCGACCCCCCTGTGCTGGGTTTTTTTTATTCCGTTTTTACTATGAAAACAATATAAAGTCCAAATTTTTGTTTTCATATTAAAATATATTACATAAGCCTTAATTCAATATATATATAAGTGTCAATATTTCCAGAACATTTTCAAAAATTAAGTTGAAAAAGTTCTACTTTCTATATGCACTTTTCAGATTTGAACCCCCTCTATATAGGGAAATGATCTGATTAAAAAAAAAATATATACCAAATGATAGGTAAAGACATCAAGCATCTATAAAAATTTTTTTTATTAATTTGATAATTTTTGAATAAGTTAGGGTAGTTTAAAAAAAAAAAAAAATTGAAAAAATTCGAAAAGTAGCAATTTTTAAATTTTTAATTTTTTTGGAGATTTTTCACATTTATAGGGAACGAGAGAATTTTTTTTCAATTTTTGAGGGTAATGTCTTCGACTAGAATCAATTTGTGATCTTTTGACGTATCGTTGAAATAAATCGGTTCGGTGAGAGCTGAGAAAAAGTGGTAACAGATAAAAAAAAACACTTTCTCAAAAATTTCTCATATACTTACAGCAATGTTATTTTGAATCATTAAGTTAAAATTAATATAATTTTCAACTCATCTAGCAAATATCAAGCTGAAATACTTATAATAGCCGATAAATTTCTGCAGCGGAAAAGGAACTGTTTTAGTAGGCATCTTTTGTTTAAATGATATGCATTAGATAATTTAATTTTTCGCTGCACTTGCACAGCGGTTACCTTTTAGGATATGTAATGCAAGTGCGTCAAACATTTAGACACTCGAAAAATCTGGTACAAATTTTATAGTAAATGTAAATTCAAATTTATATTTATATACACTATATCAAATTAGATATAGTGCAAAATACATATTGTGTACATAAATATACATTTAAAATGCAGTATGTCGTTGAAAGTTTTTTCAGATTCTCTAAACTTAAAAGTACAACTGAATATCAAATAAATATGACAATCACAAAGATGTGCTTCAATATTATGGATTACATTTTATTCAAGATCAATAATTAAATAAATAGTTAAAAATGAAAGTAACTGGGATCTACAGTCTTATGAGCCTTTGAAAATTAGATTTACGAGAAACGTACTTTTATTTAGAAATAAATAATCTTTTTAAATTACCATTTTATAAGATCTAATCTTTTGACTAAATATTACTGCTAAAGTTTTCCAAGGAAACTTTTTTTAATTTTGACCATAATTTTCGATTATTTCTCTAAGCAAAAAAATAATTGTACTTTTGTTTTATAATTATTTTTGTTGTAAAAGATTATCTTTTATACTCTTCTCGTAAAAATGTTAATGGCTCTCGAATCACAACAAGTAATTTTACAAACTTCATTACATTTTGTTCTGTTGGTTAACAGTTCTTTTCTACTCATAAAACAAATAAATTTCCTTATAAAAAAATTTATTTTAATACTTTTGTGTGAACTTTTTTTTATAATAGTTATGATTTATAAATCAATCACATGTAGATCCACCACCACAGGCAGCAGATTGACGATTGGGATTTTTGACATTACTAAGATTAACTTGATCTTTATTTTGTCCAGTAGCACCTCCAATGTTGCATACTTTTTTGCACACCAACTCACCTGTATCAATCATCTGACCCTGGACATGTGTTTGCATTACATACGCTCGTCGTGCAGTTACTGTCGGTTCTACACCTCGACCAATAGTTGGAGGTCTACTCATTATCCATGCACGTTCTACTACACCAGGGGGGCTCTTTGCTGCTTCTCTGTCTGCCTTTGTTGCTTGAACAATACAAGCGTCCAAATTAAATGAAAAATCATTATGGGTTTGCGGGTCTTGTATTTGAACTGTTGGGTTCTTCTTAAATTTTTTTTCTAATCTTAATTTTTCACATTTATTCATTTTTTACTTGGATAATGATTAAAATCTGCCCTTGGACTTTTTTGCTACTTGTTATATATAAATTGATTAAAAATATTTAAAAAATTTTACAATTAAACGAAATTGGGTTACTATAACAATCAGTCGTACTAAGTGTTTAACACGAAATGCCATGGACATTATCAACGCAGGAAACTTCTTATTAAAGGAGGCATTAGTTCAAAATCAGTATAACAAAATAGAGTAACTATATAATTATTAAAATGAATAAAATTCAAAAAGAGTAAGTAGTAAAATATATTAGGTATAAGGTTGATATTTAATAACTAGGGTCATCACATTAAATAATAATATTTCAATTTCAATACTATCTTTGGTATTAACAATATGAATGAAATTGTTTTATTAAGTTATAGGTAAATAAAGTAAATATTTATAAAGGTGTGTAAAGTAAATTTTCTAATAATTAGATGTTAATGAAAATTAAAGAAATTTACACTAATAGACTTACATGTTCCTTCTTCTTCTCACTCGCCTTAATCCAATTATTTGGGGCCAGTTACTTGTATTTTAAACCCCTTGACGCAATCTCTGATAATATCTATAAACACACCAGCAGTCTTCTTATCACCTCCAGTTACACTCAACCTCCTTTTTTTCTTCTTTTAACGTTCGTTTAAATAACTATTCTTACAGCATCCAATTTTTCTACTCATAAATGACCAAACAATCACCACAGTTTTGTAGAAATTAGCTTTTAGCTTCATTGGGATTCTCTTATTACACAAAACTTTAGACGCTGCTCTCTAATTGATCTTAGGACTTAATATCGTATTAAATATTTAAATAAATCAATGTTATATTTAGAATTTATCTGATTTTATTTTTTTTTAATGTGTACCAATAAATAATTTTTTTATGATCTTATAAAAATTTCTAGTGAACTACATAAAAATTCTTCTTTTGTTTTTGAAAAAAAAAAAAAGTTACAAACAATATTCATAATAATGATGATAATAAGAATAGTAGTACAATAATAATTATTAAAATAAATAGGCACATCAATAACAAATATTTCTTACCTAACTATAGTAAAAAAATATCACGAAAAACATAATGAAGTTTCATAATAATTATAATAAAAAAACAGATTTATATATATATATATTATTTAAAATTTACACAAATAAGCATATTTAGGCGATTAGGTAAACTAAAATATCATATTTTTATTAAAATGTGTAGTTTATTGTGCATAATTTTAAATAACAATATAGGTAATGTATTTTAGGTTATTTTAATTGTTATTGATGTTGGTATGTTTATGGTGACATAAGTGAGATGTTTAGTATTTGGTTAATAATAAATAATAAAATTTATTTTTCAAATAATGCGATGAATTCAATTAAAAGATGGAAAATCAGAGGACTACTAAGGGTGAGGAAATAAAAAAAAATAAAAAAATCGAGAAAATTAACGAACAAAGAAATAGAAGTTTCGTATTAAGTTGCATAAGTATTCTGATTGTCTTTTATTCCGTGTTGTTATCCTTGTATTGATAAGGATAAAAAAATATTTCAGTAACTTTTACTTTTGCTTAAAAATTAAAATAAAATCTTAAGAATAACACTTTTATTATCGTTATTGAGTTGTTAATAAAAAATATATCCATTGTAAAATATTAATACTTAATAGTTGTAATTGATTACATGTGGTAATTTTTTTTTAGTATTGGTATAATTTATGTATAAATATATTAATAAATAAATAATATTTCAATTTATATTATAGGTTATATTATGTATATGATACAAGACTAGGTATATGTCAGTTAGGAAAAGATGATTTAAATTCATAAACATAATTTATTTTTAATATCACCTATTGCAAAAAAAAATAAGGTATAACATATTCCGACTATACGAATTAGTACTTATAATTACTTAAAAGTACTAATAATTTGGATAAACATGTTCTAAAACTGTACAAATACAGAGATTGAAAATAATGAGCATCTGAGAGTTATTTTGTTTTATTTTATGCGTACTCGCCTTGTATCTATACACATTATTACTCGTTTTATGTACACGCATTTGTATAATAATAATAATATTATAAAAACAAAACGAAAATATATCAATTAACATAAGGGCAACAAAACAAAACAAAAGGAACAAAAAACATTTTAAGTTATATAAAAACTTAAAAAATACTTTTAGCTACATATAAGTTAACTTTGTTATGAATATCATAATAATAATACTAAAAGTTACATATTTTTGGTAAAAATGTATGATTTCTATTATTTTCTAATGCTAAAATTTATACTTAATAGGTATCTAAGGTTTTACCAACGTACTCACTAATGTAAATTAAATAAATTTTTAGGATAACCGTCGGGTTGTCTTAAAAGTAACAAAAAGGTGTTTATAAACGGTTTGACTAGGAATAATGTTTATTTTAATCATTTAGTTTTCAATATTTTTTTTTATCGAAATATTTTGTCAAAGATATCAATACAAATAATTTTTATTATTATATTGTCAATATGAGACATAAATCGTAGGATTTTCTTCATTTTATAATTTTATATGCGTATCATATTAAAAAACATAATATCGATGGAATTTATTATGTTAAATTTGAGCATATCGGTTAAAGAAAAGTTAAGGCTATCATAAAAAGTAAGACGTAACACATACACACACATACTTTTAAATGTTTTACAATTTTTAGGTAAAAAATCCCAGAATAGTAAATAATATATCGACCTTTGAAAAACTTTATTTAATATTATTGATAAAATAATGTTTAAATTAAAATAGAGTGCACAAGTGATTGATCAAAAAATTAATAGGAGAGATTGAGTAATAATAACAATTAATATACACGCAAACAAGGTATATATATATATATTTTTTTTTTTTGGAGTTAATCTTCCTAAAATTACCGTCATAATATCAAAGTATTAAAGAACATATAATGACAATAATCATTTTGCATTTATTTAAAAAAAACGTTTAATATACAAGTTTTTAAATTGAATATCACAAATATGTTAATACATAGTATATATATTATATGCTGATGTATTAAATAAGTTTGTGGACAATTTAAATAGATAATTCATACTCTATTTAGCAGTAAAAAGTACAAGTAAAGATAGTTCATACATAACTTTATGTACTTGAAATAAGCTTTAAGGCAATAAGAGTTTGAAGGAATGTTGTGCTAAAGTTACATATCCTTAGATGTTGATTTTACTTTATAATATAAATCCGTATATTTTCTTCTTCGTTTAGAAACATCTATATCCATATGAAATAGAGCTAATAAATTTAAAGGGATGAGGAAGTTTTTTTTGACTTTTGGGGCGTCGGGTTTAGACATTTCTGTCTAATTTATTTGGAACAACAGAAACATGCAACAACTTGCACGAGAAATTGGTGTGCTAACCTTTTTGACGAAGAAAGAAATGGAAGTTTATTTAGTAATCGTAAGTCCTGGAATTGCTTTGGCTGAATGAAATGAAAAACCAAGGAAAGTTTACAAGGTACCAGTTGCGAATTGATAATTTTGCGATTGTCCTTTGAAAATAATTATAATAAAAGAATAAAAAAACGTTGACAAATCTTACAAAAATTACATTTTTATCATTTGTGTGATGTATGTGTATGCATGTGTATTCGCTATACTTCCATATTATTTATTACATAAATTTATTAATACTTGAATCTGCCTGTTCCACATTCAATCTTCTACAGATAAAAAAATTATTACGAAGTGAAAAGCTCAAAAATTTAGTTAAATTTTATTTATTTAAGGGAGTTACATTCTGGTTTTATAAAAAAAAATAATTTATATATATTTTTTTATTGGAGGGATTTTTAACCCAACAGTTTATAAAATAGTTACTTTAGTATACTTATTCTTAGAATTCTAAATCTTTTATTTAAGCTACATAATGATAGTGTCGTTTTGATCTGAACACATAAAAAAAAAAAAAAGATTGCTTTAAAATTATTCAAAACTATTCTCTAAATTTGACATATTGTAATAATCCATAATCACTTTACATTTATTCTTTAATAATATGAACGTAATATTTTTTCTCTCAAATAGTTATCAATTAATTTATGAATTGTTCGTACTTCCTTACAGTACGAATAATTAATTCCAATTATTTTTCATATCACATCAAATTTATGAATCTTATCAGTTAATTCTACATATTACAAGTACTATATTATCTTAAAATTACATATCTAAACTAGAATTATTTTGATTCTATCTACAAAGATTTTATTGTAAATAATAATCATTGGTGCGTTAAGTTTTATATAATAACAATGTTAATACAAGTAGGTAATTATAGCAATTAATAGATACGAAAAATTAAAAATAATAATTTGTGATAAATAATAAATACTAAAATTAGGGACTAAAATATTTTTAATTTAAATTTAATAGGTATCTAAAAATTGTACCTAATAAAATTAATAAATAAAGTTTACACCAAACTTTTAGTAAATTATTCTTATTATTTCCAACATTTGTTTAATTATTATTGAGTATTTAAAACTAGAAAATTTTAAAACATGTAAAATATTGTTTCCTAATAATTTCTTATTTTATTTTACATTTTTTATCATAATTATGGTATATTTATATATATTATTTTTTTAAATTTATAATCTACAAAATATATATATTGTTTTCAAACATTTATATAAAATAGATATAGTTATATAATAGTCCGTTTAACAGTTGTTTTATGTGTACTTAAATTAATCAATGCCGAAGATTTGAGTTCTAAACTGAATAATAAAATATGTTGCTATTATACATTCCTGTAAAAAAAAAAATGAATTATTAAATAAAATAAAAATCTATGAGGAATTAAATGATACCGTGTGAACTATTTTTGGTTTTATCATACTTACGGCATTTTTTTTAATTATATTTTTTTAATATCTTTAAGGCTTTGTAATTTAACAGTAAATAAGATAAGTAAATATTTATATTATTTTAGTCATCTATATTAAGTTTTGTTTAACATCAATTTTATTGTAAAATGAAAATTATACATATATTTTACTTTACCACAATAAATTATATTTATATTAAATCAATAAAACGATTTATTTTCATAAAATTTTAACTTTAATTATCTATTCTTCAACTCACCTGAGAATGAAGCACAGCTTTGTTCGCATACGACAAATTCCGAGGAAACGTCCACATCAGTTCAATACCTCGGAATGCCCGGCGGAGCGGCAACTAAAACAAAAACATTAAATTAATAAATTATAAGTTATGACTGCATTTAAACTCAGTATATTTAAAAGTTAAAAAAAAGTAATTGTGAGATTTATTTAAATTAATAAAATGACATTATTTACATATCATTATCAGAAAGTTACAGTAATTAGAGTAATTATACAGATTCATGTGACATTGTGTTCTTCTCGTAAGTTTATAAGATATGATTTCAAAATAAATAGTATGAATTTTTTTATATTTAATTTTACTAAAAATTATTTGTTTAAAACTAGCTAAGAGTTTTTTATCTTTTGAATAATTTTTATGTCGTAATCTTGTTTTTAATTACAAAGTAAATATTCTTATTTTTAATGATGTAAATGAAATAAGTTCACTTTAATTAAGGCTACTATTTCTTTCAAATTAAAAGGTATTTACAATGGGAAAAGTGCAATGTTTTTTTTATTTTCTTTTTAATTAGTATATTAATATAATTTTTTTACTGGAGTGTATTATGTCTAAGTGAAATTTATTTACTTTTATAGTAGACAATTGTAATAGTAGATTAAAATATGAAAATTAAAAGTAATCTATCAAAAATAAACATTTCACTATAAAATGATAAACGTCAAGTCAAAATAGAAGCTAGATTCCTAATAGCTATTAATAAGATTGTGTTGTAGTTTTAAGCTACAGTTGTGTGTCCTCTAGGTTTGAGGCAATTTGAAATGTATCCCGCAGGAATTCCCGTCCCAACAAAATCGAATAAACGGTAGGATTTCTACGAGGAAATTTTCCATTACACTAATTCATTCTGCACCCTACGTAATTAACCCTCCACAACCTATTTGTATCACAATGTACTACCAACAAATGTGTCCAAATAGCATTTCGTCCTGATCGGTACATTGCCCATAACCATTGTTGTAAAGTAAAACTACACTATTGCAATGCCAATTTCTTTCTGTGGTAATTTTCCTTGTCTACCTTTCATACATCTACTTTTATAAAGGCATAGGCACTACAAAACTTAACCTATACAGTGAATAGGTTATGTGCATGTATACTATACATGCACATCTGTGTCGGGTGCATAAGTTTCAGCAACGGCAAGATTTCGAACGTTTGTAAATTTAAATATTTAAGTAATAATAATATTATACATAATACGCTATTTTTGCTACACAAGTGGTCGCATAAGTAATAATTTTATAAAATGTTTGAATTAATTAAAAAAGTTAGGAAAAAAATTTCAGCGTTAAAATAACACAATACTTCTACGCAGATGTTACCGCATTTGTGATTACCATAGTCTGTATATACAGTAGTATACACAGACTAAATCTCTACCTCTACATTTATCTTTCCCTCTTGTAACAATATATCAAAATTTATTGTTTCGTTTTTAGATAAAGAAAAAATACAAAAAAAAAAAAAATGAAGATTTTATGATTGTTTAATTTAACGAGCTTGTTTACTTTACTTCTACTCCCTCGCTTATATTGTGCATGTGTTTAATAAGAAAATACTTATGCATTTATATAGCTATAGCACTTATGCTATACATAACACGAATAGCTATGAAACAATTTTAAAATGAAATAGTTAAAAAAAAAACAATAAAAGTGACTTAATTAAAATAAGCGATCGCTGGTTCTATGTGAACACAAATATTATGAGTGATAAGATCGTTCAGAGATTTTTCTGATTTCAAAAATAAATCGATTCAGTACAGCAACAATCCACAAAAAAAAAAAATAATAATAAAATATAAAAAATTATAAACAAATATTAATACATTTCCTTGCTTAATATACAAACTACACATATAAGTATCTTGGCTTGTTAATAATAATAAAAAATATTAAAATTTATAATTTAAAATTTTTTCTAAATGATAGCAAATATGATAAACAAAATAATATTTGTTAATAGTTTTAAATTAAAGCAAAAATTGAAAAATATGTGAGTAGCATTGAGAATACCTTTTTTTATATAAATCATTTTTGGATACTTTTAAATTAAACTATACATTACTAGTATTATTTTATAATTCATAATTATTCGTATGAAATTAAAAATTAATTTAAAAATAAATACTTCTAAAACACATATATTTTCTTTAATATAATTTTTAAAACTTAAGAATGGACCAAATTAACTACAACAGAAGTATAACGTAAACTCATTGTTTGTTTAATGCTTCATTTTAAGTTTCATTAACGCTGCATTCATTCCCGGATGAATTAAGTCCGACCACCAACCACTCTTGGGGTTATACAAAAGGTCACTCCGGAGCTATTTTAATGTAGACAAGAGGAATTGGTTTAATAAAGGATAAATAAGTACAATGAATGGTATGCCCCACGGAATACTAGATGACGTTTGTTCATGTACAAAATGACTATTATTATGTTAATTGTATTCTCTAAAATACATATTTTTATATGTTAAATTAAGATATTTTTTATCCATATGTTAATAAATACATATATAAATTGATGTTAATTGCTATTGATAACTGAAATGGTATGTAATGTTATTTTTACGTATACATTTGAAATGTCTATGGTTTTTAAAAAAAAGAAAATGCCAGTAATAATCTAGAGGGAATTTTATATCATGTATTGAACGTAAATGAGTTTATTAACATATTTATCCAAAGTATGCAAAATAAATCGAATATCTTAACATAAACTTTTAGGTCAAGCTACTCATCTGTATTTTAAGAATTAATTAATCAATAATTTAATATTATTATTAATAAGTTATTTATAATCTTATTTCGAGCAGGCGTAGATCCAGAAGAAATTTTTGGGGGGACCATTTCACTATTTTTGTTGAAGTAAAAAATAATTTTCAAAAAAATATTTCTAGTTTAATGGGAGCCATTGTTTCCATTGCACCTTCGTATTTGCGACTATATAAAATAGCAAAAAACTCATAAAATTAAATAAATAAAATAAATTTTACCTTTATGTTTAATTATTATAAATAATTATGCTTAGTTTATTTCTTTTGTAGAAATTTTTTTTTAAACATCATAGTTTATATTATGGTATTAACTTCTACGTAGAACATAACTTTTTAAGTAATAATTTTTTTTTCTTTTTTGACTCGACTTTCTGGCAAGTTTCAAACAATTATTTCAGTACACACATTTTTCACTTTTTTCATCTACAGAAACTTTAAAGTCATTTCCTGTCAAAATTAACGTTCTCATTTATCTCCATCACTTAATATAACCACACAGTCTACTGATCTCTCGACTTCTTCGTTTACGTTCAATTGCTTTCAACCATAAGGGTTTCTGTATCTTTTGTTAAACTCTTAGAGTCAAAACTTTCTTTATTTTTTTCACTGTATTTAACTACAAATCATTTATAACTCTTATGATATACACTGTAAAATTAGAGGTTTAATATAATTATTGTATTTATGTAGCCAATGCAGTTGTCTAACCCTTTTATTGTCTATTTTTCTCATGATTGTTAAACCACGTGTTCTTGGGATTAATTTTTAATTGTTAGCTAACAATATATAATTAAATTGTACACAAAAATAAACGAAAAAAATATATGTGAACACCTCTATTCAGTGTTTAAATTAAACACTCACATGATACTGTTGGTACGAATGGTTGGAGAAGTTGTTGGTAAGTACCAGAGTTCTGTTGAAATACTGGCATTCCATTTTTGTCACTACCAGCACTTCGCTTATATTGCATCATTCCTGGAAAAGCCTGAAACACACGTATAACATCTACAATTCTTATCAAACAAAATAAAAAAACCCGTATTTTAGGAGTACATAATAAACATATTAACTATTTTTAATCCATTTTTCTGCGGTTCATGCACGACAACAATAAAAGAATCGAAGCTGAAAACATACTAATGTAAACAGAACGAATCAAATAGCTCATTTTTAATGTATTGCTCTATTTCCCTTCTCTTTGACTATTGATTTTGTCAATGATTTCTTGGCTGAATAAACATATCAAATACCAAAATGATCGTATTCATCTAATGGAAAATCCAAGAATATTTTAATTGTGAAATATTACGTTACATTAAGCCAAGTCAGGGTTAAGCTATCATTAAAAAACCCCAGATGCTTATACTGACAAGAATTTATAAGGCACACGAGTTATACTAGCTAGAGTGATGATATCGAGCTTTTTTAAACATTAAAAAGTTTTCTTTTAATTATTTTATATAGATGTTTTTTTGTTCAAATAATCAAAAAATCTTGTGATACAGTAATTATAGACTTTTAAGTGTACATTATAATAGTTAAATTAATATGCTATAAATATAACTTATTAAGCTATCACAATCTTATTTAATTGATAAATTTTATGTGGTTACAAAGTTTAGTAGGCGATTATAGTATTTTCCTTCTAGGAAGAAGTGGTCTTCGAAAATGCATCAATAACAACACCCGAGGGATAAGGTATTTAACTTTTCAGGTTCACGTTTTCAAAACACATTATATTGAGTACCAATACTACCAACGCCCATTTTGAAGATTTATTATCGACCATTAGAATATACATGCATGTAAGTATATTTTTTTACAACTGTTTGTTTATCCTAGAAGTCGAACATCTTAGAATTATTTTTATTGTTTGCACTAGTTTATAAAATGTTGGAAAACATCTTTATTTAGTAGTACTTAAAAGTAGTTAGGTATTGATGTTGTGATATTGTTGAGTAAAAACCATAATTATAGCAAGAGTAAACAAATATTTTACAGTCAATATATTTCTAGATTTTTGGTGATCATTCGAGTTATTAATTGAGATATATATTTCCTGAACATTAAAAATTTAGACTTGAAAGGTAATCACTTTTTGGTAATATCAAATAAACGAAAAAAAACTGTTTCATATGTAGACTTAAAGGATGAGGATATTATTGTGAAAAATACGATTGTTGAAACGCGCCGTGGGGCGAATTCATAATAGCCAATTTAAAATTTAAGAGATGTGCTTTTTCAGCTATGAACCCTGAAAAATACGGCCTACCCTTGTCTTGCAATAACAATAGATATAGATAAATTTTCCATTTCCTTCCCCAGAGACACGGTTTTTCTACAGCTTTTTCTCATTTATTTGTACAACTATTTGAGTTCTCAAAAACAAAACTCTACTTTATTAATATTTTATACATTTTTGCTACCCTCTAATTGACAATTAAATTTTAAGCGATACTAGTTCAAAGGAAATACGTTTAAAGTTGATACACTTACTTAAAAATAATATTATATGATGTATACGTTTAAAAATAATTTTCCTAGAGAGGGATAGCCAAAAATATAATGTATTATGTTGATGTTGAATATGTAATATTAGGTTGGTGATAATGGTTGGGTTAGGTTACTACTTGTTGTCTATTAAAGTATAAAACTTATAAACACCTGAGGTCTTGTAGGTTTATGGCTTAATATATATGATAATCAATCAAAGGATGTGACTTAATAGTGCTCAACTAGTGAATAGCAAACAGTTTTTAGTTGAATGTTGACTTTAATGGAGAGACATGATAATGACAAATAAAATTATAACAGGTATATTAAATTATCGTTTGTAGTAAAAACATTATCATTTATTTTAGTATGATAATTAAATGAAATACTCAAGTTATAACAGCAGCTCAGATTTTAGTTAAAATATTAATCTATAAATATTGGCTTTGATGCGAAGATGAGAAGATAATAATTTAACTATGATGTGTTTTTTTTATATCTGTCGCCATTTAGATTTTACCGGAACGATTTCTTTCAAAGATACGTCAAAAGAACAAAAATCGTATATTATTGTGCACGTTGCCCTCAAAAATTTTTAATTTTTCCCTTGTTCACTGAAAATTTTAAAATTTCGATAGTTTTTAAATTTTTTTTTTTTAATTGCCATAAATTTAAAAAAAATGAACAAATAAAAATAATTTTTTTATATATAAAAACCTTAGGTATTTCCCTTTTATTTGATATAATTTTTTTTTAATTCTGACCCTTAATCTCCCTACAGGGGTCGATAATAACTTAAAACATACATATAAAAAGTAGAACTTTTTCAACTTAACGTTTGAAAATGTTCAGGAAATACTGCGTCCTTGAAACATATTTTAAGTTAAAACTTATTTTACTTACTATAAGTTAAAAAAAAATTTTCCCGACGATTTATTGTCTATCTGCGAATGACTTCCGTAGTTGAACAAAAAATGTAATTTTCGTGTAATAATCATCTTCAATGGATTTGTTATTTTTTTATTTTATACCATAACCTTTTTAATAATTACTGAATCAAAATAATTATTATTAATATAAAAACTTTATGTATTTTTCTTTAATTTGATATAATTTTTTTGAAAACCTTAATATTTATTTAACCACATGGGAGAATTCAAAATAGCAAAAGTCAATTCTTTCAACTTAAGTTTTGAAAATAATCCGCAAATTCTTCGTCTTTTAAATATATGTTAAATTAAAGTTTGTGTTACATACTATAAGTTATACAAAAAAAATTGTCTGAACGACCTATCTTTTATGTGCAAATGGACGTCGACATTGAACAAATTTAATAAATATTTATTCATATCAGGATATAAATAAGGAAATAAGAGTTAATTTTGATTTTGGAATAATCCACCAATTTCTATAAAATAATTATCTATAGATTTGTATCAAAGCGTTTCTTATGATATTGATTTTAATCACTGTTACATATCATCTATACTTGTCCCAACTATGTCACGTCCATACTTTGCTACCGTTTTTTTACATAGATTTTAAGTGTCATAACTAAAATTAATAATTTAATGCTCAAAAATTGTTTAATAACAATAATGATATATCTGTATTATAAACTACATATATGAAACTTATAAAATTATCTAATATTGTCTTTTGAGTTTTTATAACTTAATGTTATTATATCATAATTAATGGGATGTTTATACATATATAAATTTACAAAATTTGTTTGGGCTACTTTGAAGGGTTCCAAGTTTGTGCAACTTCGTCATAGGATTATATAGAAATAATACTTTTCGTATTAGAGAGAATTCACTATCACCCCCAAAACTATAACTTCTATAACAACTTATTATTAAGTTCTAAAATCAATTAATAAAAATTTGTACTGGCCGATGTTGTGTTCGCAATAACTTAACAAAATTTATAAACGAATATAAATTCGTGCTTTAATAATTAATAAATCGGTTTAATAGATTTTAAAATATTATATTATTATACTCGAAAAAAATTTATTTATATTCAAAATATTAAAGTAAAAGTAGAAAATGTTATAACATCTTTCATCAAATTCAAATGAAGATCATCCTCATTAGTAAATAGAGATTATGTCAAAGATCGATCTAAAATATAAATATGTCAAATTAAATATGTATATACCGAATATAATAATACAATAATATCCGGGGAAAATGACATTGAAATCTTCTTATCAGAGGCTTGTGAGAAAACACAAAACACTAAGATTGAGGGATAAGAAATTAATCATATAAATAATTAAAAATGTATATTTAATAATAAATTAAAATTTGAGTCGAATGATTTTTATAATAAATGTATTACATATATAAAATTGAGTTCTTAGAGTCTGAGAATCTTAATAGTAAGTTTATAATGTATGGCAATTATAAAGTATTTCCTCTTTCGTGAGTCAGTGATGAAGTTGGTTTTAAATGTACAAATCTTCTTTTGTCATCTTTAAACAGTTTTTTATTGAAGATTTCTTGCTCCTCAATTTCTTCCAGTTAAATAATATACTTAATTTATTTGGTAAAATAATAGATTTTCTTTTTTCAAACTTTGAATTTATAAATGATATATTTCATGATGATCCATTAGTACCTCTAGTTTCTTATTATCTTGCAATCAAATTACATATGGATTACCTACTCACATCTATGTCTACCAAATTTTTCAACGATAAAAATGTATAATAAAATCAATTTTATTTAAATTCATTTAATTAGTACAAAAATTTGACATCTCAATATAGTCAAAATTAGCACTCAATAAATTCATTCGTCGGTCAGGAATTAATTTAGCAGTGAAACCCTAATCAGTTCTGGAAGTGAGATTTTTATAAGAATTCTTATATCACAATTTGTAAAATTATAGGTTTTTTTTTAACATTATATAAGTACCATCAGGCACACCACAAGATGGTCATATATTTCCTCTTTTTTTATGATATTTATTAGTGATACATTAATGTATGTCCTTCGAATTGAAAAACTGTTACATCTTTTTATTTGAATATTTAAAAATCTTCTAACGTATGTCTTTATTAGACAACAATAATATTACAAAATTATTAAACATTTTATTTGATTAGTGTAATAAATAGTGTATTATTCTATTAATAATATCAAATTAGATTTTGTCTTAATTACAAGAGATTTAGATATTATATTCATTCATAAGTTAAACTTCAATCAACACATCTTAAATACTGTCAGTAAAATCCTGTGTTTTGTTAAACAAAACTCATTCATAAATTCATTTGAATTTAACAATTTTAAATCCCACCTAATATTTTATAACGTATTAGGTCAATCAACATTAGAGTATGGTTCAATTATATAGAGCCCTTTCATTAAAACTAATGTTCATTTAATTCAGTATGTTCAAACCCGTTTTTTGAAGTTAATAGCATTTAAACTGAATATTTCGATTCAAAATCATAATTGTACACCAATGAGACTACATTTAAGCATCCAAACTTTATTACTAAGAGTGAATTAACAGATATTACTTTTATATCTAACTTAATTTATGACCATATTAATTCCCCATGGTCATTAAACTTAATTTATTATAACGTTCAATCTTACAACAAACGTTTGACTTCTCATTTTGATATTGCATCACATAGAACTAATTATATTCTTAATTTTTCCATTCCTAGAACTTTTTGCTATTCACTTTTAAATGTAGACTTCTTCACACACCATTGCTTAAAATTTTAAATTTACACTCAAGTAAACATATACATATAAGTTACTAAATATAAATGAAAATAGATTCAAACTTTGTTTTCATTTTAATCTTATAATGAACGTTATTATTATAAGTTATATAAAATGGTTATTCCTTTATATCTAATGACTATTATTATTGTTATTACTTAAATTATGATATTCTATAGTATTGGAGTCTTAACCAGTCATATTTATTTAACATACAATATATAATTATCTGAAAAAATTATTATTATTGATATTGCTTAAAATTTATTATGATATTATATATTTATCGAAAATATTTTTTTCAAAATTTTAAAAATATGTAAAATGATTAATTTGTCATTAATCACTATATTTCTTCTAAAATATATATAATTTTATAAGTTGGTAACCTTGTAAGGTATAAGAGAAAGACCTAAAAAGTATTAAGAATTCGTAAAATTAATAAATACTACCAAAGAAAGGCAAAAATATATTCATTATTATTATTAGTTTAGAAGAAATTTTATGATTAAAAATAAATCATCCTGTATTCCATGTCTGTTATTTGAGGAATTTTTTTTTTGTATAACCCAGAATAATACACGAGATATTTAGATATAAAACAGAGAAATGGCGTTCAAGAAACAATTTAGTTCACTACAGAGCTTTGACTATCTAAATAATATACGAAGAAGAAAACACGATCAATGTTTATATTGAATGATTAATATTGTTAATATTGATAATATTGTCAATTATCAACTAATATTTTCGTAAAGACTCATCAAATAATTTTGGGTCGTGATGAAAATTTATATGATGAATTTTAGCAATAAATTTTATAGTTTATGATTTACATTTTGGTAAAATACTCTAAAAAAAATACATAAAGTTAATCACAAGGTTTTAACCAAAAAATAAAATAAAATTTGTAACAAATTATCGAATATATTTATTATATATAATATATATATTATCAAAATATTTGAATTACAATAAAGTATTAAATTTTAAGTAAAAATTATTTTACTTAAATAATTTGTCAAGGATATTTAAAGATATTTATTTAACTTTTTTAAAACATTATGTAATTATATTGTAAACACATAATGTATCAATGTCTATATATTTATCTATATTATAAAATATGTGAGACTTGATCAGATATAATTTAAATATAACACAAAGATAAGAACACCACTACATTGCGTAAACCTCTAACCTATTTCAAATATGATAATAATATAATTTTATTATAGTTCCATCAGCATGTTCTGATTTGTTTTATTTAGTGAAGAATACTGTTGCAGTAAAGTTTAAAATGTTACTTATAGTATACTAGAATTGAGCAAGTAAAAAATATACCAAAAAGTATAATTCGAAAAATTTTTGGTTACAATAATATTTTTAAGATAAAAGGTCAAAATGTTGTTGCCTAAATAATTAGGACAATGAAATTCAGGAGGGGAGAAGGTTTAATTTATTAAGGTCCGAGATATCCTGGTGCATTGGTGGTCTTGTGGCTTTCACACAGTTTACTCATAAATTATGATTTTCTTACTCGCCCCGTTTCTCTTTTTTATCAACGACAGGTTGAATTAGTGCCATGCTAAAATACTAGACGTGGTAGATAAGCAAAATTGTAGCCAATTATCAAAACATAAAGGTGTACAAAACAGTTAATTTATATTATTAAGTTAAAATTCCATCATAAAACGTATTTCTTAACCTATATGATATTTTCACTATGAGATAAAATCGGTAAGTTGTAATTTATGAAAAAAAAATTCAAAAATACTCAATATTAAACACAAAAATGTATATATGATGGAGATATTAAAAAAATCAAAGGTATTTTTTTAAACTGTACAAACTTTTCATTTAATGCTTACTTTAAAAAACAATTTTTAATTGATTTATTTTAACATGATTTCTCAATTTTTGAAGGCATAAAACAAAATTATTCTATTACTATTTACAATTTGTTTACTTACAAAATTTTCATAGTAAAGTGTTCCAACGGCTTTCATATCCATCTGAAATACATAATTCTATTATAAAATTTGTTCATAGTATTTGAGGATATAAAATTATCTCTTACTAATTATTTATGACATTTTAATTGATTATCAATAGGTTTTAGATCTAGGTGACGTGAACGCTATCAAATGATTAAATTTGTCACTTAGTTAAACATTTTTTTTTATTTTTTACAACTACTGAGAGTAGTATAATAATATATAAAAATTTCTTTTATCATACTTGAATTGACTAATTATATTATATTATTTTCTTGTCGTTCGATAAGAATTTTTTAAAAAGCTTCTAGAATTATTTGATAAGTACTTCACAAAAAATTATTATTAATTATTATATTGTTTTAAAAAATTACACAAATAGTAGTTTACATAAATATTTTTATCATACATCAATATACAGAAATATATTTTTATTTAAATATGTTCAATGTAACATTTTTTTAGTACAACTAGGAAAAATCGTCAAAAAATTAAGAATTTATCGAACTTTTAAATTATATAACAAATTAATTTCTAATACCTTGATACAAATTTAATCATTTTATCTTCTCTTGAATTTTAATACTTTTAATGATATCAAGTAAAAAACAAATCTACTAAATTTAATTTAAGTTTGGAAAACTAGAAGGTCATATAAATAAACAAAATTTGGATTACTCATTGTATATTAGAACATCAACGTGAATGTTTTAAATTGAGCCATTAAAGTCAAGCGTAATAAATTATCAAAATTACTAACTTTGAAGCTAAATAGTTAAAATTTTATGTCGAGCCGAAAGTGTTCACTTAATGGAGGATGTTCAATAACTGGATCAGTTATCATATTAGTATCCAACCATTAATTAAAAGAAACTCATAACAACGTAAAGACAATCAAGGGCATAAGTTCATAATCATTTTTAAAAAATGAGAATTCAGAATAATGTTTGTGTTTTATATTTATTATTACTATCATATTTCTTTTAAATTAGAAAACTTCAAAATATAACTCAGTTATAGAAGACTTATGAAAGCAATAATTGAAAATAAAGACATTAGTGTTGTATTTTTAAAGCAAATATTGCATACAACCGTTAAAGTGGGTTTTTGTACATCTATTATTCAAACCTTATACTTTTTATCTATTCCATAGAAAAATTTTGAATTTAAATTATCTTATCGATGAACATGTCTTTATCTAACTTAACACTAATTTTGGATATGTTCTAATATCACGGCCAAAGGAAAATATATAATACAAACCATTAGATAAAATTAAAAAAAAATATTTTTTAAATGTATACAGTGTTTGACAGACAATTTTAATGTTTGAATTCAAAATCAATGTAAGAAATTGAAAAGTAATTTTAATTAATCAAACATAGAATATTTTAAAAGTTTTTATTGAGTTTGTCTTTATTACTATAACAGTTATTATACATAAATGACAGATCTCCTGAAGAAGTTTTTCTAGAAAAAATAACATATATTAAATACTTTGCTAAAACCTAATCTATTTATATAAATATATTAAGACGATAATTTTATGAAACGCTTCCTACATTTCAAAAAAAAAATAAGTGCAGTGGGGATCTAGTGTAGTACCAGATTGACATTGGGTTGATTGTTTTTTTTAATCTTATAGTATATTATTAAGACTTAAATTTGATGTACATTTAAAGAACCGACGTTCCAAAATTTGAAAAAAAATTGTGTTGTTGCATTCATACAGATCTTGTTTTTTGGGTTTTGATTAGATTATTATAAAAATATATTAAAAAAAATATTATTGTCTTTAGTATTGCTGATATAAATTTCATTGGAATTGTGAATTTTTCGAGAGAAATAATTAATTAATTTTATTTAAAATATAAATATGGATAAATTGAATAATGTTAATTTTAATTTATATTAATTTAAATGAAATTTTGAATTCAAATGATGAAATTAAAATTGTTTATTGCAATAACTTTTAACATGACTGTATGACGTTCGTTATAAGTACTTTAAAATGGTAATCATCCACATAATAATTCTGTCGGATTAGTTATGGATCAATAACTTGTGATCCTTTGATATATTCTTGAGTCAATTGTTTTGTTAGGAAAGATGTATTGAGGAGACACACAAAATATAACCTAGTAAAACCAATACGTATACGGATCGAAGTTAATATAAAAATAGTAATATAATGTTAAAGATGTAAAAAATTTTTATATACGGAGTGCTTGAATAACTATGCCTCACGAATTTTCTTTAAAAATATTCGTGTTACCATATATGTAATTATTTTATTTGTTGAGCTATTTGACAAGAAAAATAAAGATTCCATCATCATTCCTTAACCTTCAAATCAATATCAACTTTAGTTTTTCAAATAGAAATCCAATTTTATTTTTGTTAATCTTGTTAAGCGTAAAAAAAAATCAATTTTAATAAATCAACGTGAGTAATATTCACGTCCCATGAACTTTAATGAATCATAACTAGCTGATAATTTAATAAAATAAAAAAAAAAGGGTTACGAAAATTTTTTTTTTAAACTAAATCAATCTGATTATATAAAAAAAAATAGTATTACCATTTGAAAATTGAAAGTTGATACTGATTTAAAGCATAAGGGATGATCATTAAAATGTAATTTTACTCACTGAGCAGCCCAAGATAGAAACATAATATTTCATAAAGAAAAAAAAGATAACTCTTATATTTTCAGAGGCATGGTTAATCAATCACTCTGTATTTTTGCTTAATTTATAGAAATTATAAAAAAAAAATTAAAATTATGAACTTGGTAATTTTATTAAGATTTTTTTTATCCTACTAAGTTTTAATAAACTATGCGATACAAAAAAAAAAGACGTATTAAAGATTTCTTGTCTTTCAAGATTTTCTTGAAGAAAATGTGTCAAAATATTTCTGGTAGACTTGTTTTCTATTCGGTTATGTTAATGGAAAAACATCAAAAGCAGTAGACTTATAGTTATTGAAAATTCTTTCATTCTACAATACGACGCCATCATAAAACACATTAGGAAGTTTACGAAGACATGTAAATGGGCATTACAAATAACTTCGTAAACTCAATTTCAAAAATATGTATCCCTCCCTTTGTGAATATTTTATGTGGTATAAATCCCACTTACTTTTCCCTTGAGCGTTTAAACACAACGCCTTTAAAATTTGCAATGCTATTTTATTTTTGTTTTAATTTTGTGACCACCTTAAAGAAGGTTCATTTCCTTAATATCTTTAGATAAAACCGTTAATCTATGAATAACATAAACGACAAACTCGTCCAATCCTACTATTATTTAGATCTTACAGACCCTATATGAAATATAAAATTTATCGGTGAACATCTATATTTAAGTGTAAACTGTTAAACAATTGGTAATATAACGTTATTTTCTGTAAAGCGTTAAATTGGTGATGAATCAAAACCATTATTTGAATAAAAATTTAGTAATACCTTAATTAAATTGTCTTTAGTACTTTAGTATTGCATTTATTTTTCATATCTTTTCTTGTTGCACAATAATTATTAATCGTTCATTAAAAACTTGCCATTATGAAAAGAAGTTCGACCAACTGACCTCTACAGTACTTGTCAACCGGTCTCAGGTGTTGGTCAAATATGCGTTCACTGTTCCTTTCCAGTTCAATGATTAGCGTTCATTGTGGTCGGGTCGCCTGGTTATTTTGTTCAAATTTTTTATCGTAAATAGTGACAATATCACTCTTCAGCCACGTACATAGCTTATCTCGTTGGTATGATTTAAATGGTTGCTTATTTTTAATTTTTTAGCCCTGACAATAAAGCCACGGTGAAGATTATTTGTTCGAGATCATTTACACTATAATTCATTGATAACTTGTTCAAAATTTGTCTCTGTCTCTCTTTTTATTTTGTTCATAAATTTATTCTATATTCGTGTATATTTAAAAAGTTTTTTTTGAAACATGTACTTTATTTAAATTAATATATTTGAATTATTTTAGTATGATTATTTTATTTACCTTTCTGATACATTTTACTCATTGACTATTATTCTTGATTTCTTTTTTAAAAAATTGTTTTTTTCGTATATTAGCACTTTAATTTTTTTTCCATGTTGAGTGTAATAACATCTCACATGTGCTTGCCCAATGGAGAAATGCTAAGCAGTGTTACAGCTTGGTATAAAAAACCTAAATCTCTATTGACCGGTATCAACTGTTTGTTAGTGCATTATTGCAGTGATAACTATTTTATTTATCCAATAGTATTAAGTACTATTAGTCTCCTTGGCCCAATTAATTTTTATAATTAGATTTTATAATAATTTTTTTTTTTAATTTTGAACATTGATACATATTAATCTATATTTGATATCATCTTCGTGTACTTAGGGCATAGTTATTTTATTTTAATATTAATTTGTTATAATTTTACTCAATTTAATTACAATACAAAAACATTATCGTATATACTACTAGTCTATAGGTTGTTTTATTTTCCTTTTCCTTTAAGGTCAATGTAAAAACTTTTTAGACAAATCATTAGTACGATATTTATAAATATTAGTGATGTAATTTGCATTTAAATTATATTATGCCCTGGTCTGGTAGAACCCTGGCCAGTAGTGAGTTGAACTTTGTTGGATTTATGTGCTTTTAATGGTGAAATATATACAGCCAGAAGCCGGTTAATGTCACATAGTATGAGACACGTACACTAAGTAGTAATGCATGTAAAGTAATCACGAAAATATCAATCTGTGGATTAAGAATATTAAGGCAGGTTATAGATTTTAGTTTAGATCCTTTAAGTTAAAGCAAACCCAGCAGCTGAGAAAGTTCGATTAATTATAAGGTCGTAGGAAAAACGACCGATGGTAGAATTAAGAGTAAACGAAAGAGAAATAGTATAGGGAAGAAAACGTTAAGGTCATAATAGGATTATCGGTAAGAATATATAGGAGTATATAACTAATAGTAGAAACATATGAGGGGAGATGAAAAACGAAGAGCATAAAGATAGTAGTCGATTCAGCAAAAACAAAACGAAATGAGGGTAAAATTTTACAACTATAATGGAGAATGTGAATTACGTTTCGACCATGTAGATATTTCCTAATTCAATGATTCGTTATATTAACCAGAGAATAACAAAATAATTTAATTTTTCGGTTTTATATTACTGTGTTAAATATTAAAAAAATATCTCCACTAAAATTACTGATAGTGATTATAAAATATATATATATTAGGACTATCAAAAAAAAAAAAAAAAAAATATGTTTATTCAAAAATTAATAGTATATGCTAAAAGAAGGTAGCAGTCCAAATTAAATTTTTTTTATTGACTCTACCAAGTTGTTCAAGAGTATATCTCTCCTCATTGCAATAATATGGACAAATGGGATATTTGTATAAAATCATTAATTTTTTAAAAAAAAATGTATGTATTTAAAATTATTTTTGTACATTATAAAAGCTGACATTTTTCAAAAAAATACATACCTAAAACATTTAATTTAATCGATTTTTATTTATTTATTAAGATTAAAAAAATGTTCACTATCAGAAAAATACTAAAATGTTTGAAAAATTGAAATTTATGAGGAATTAAGTTTCTTAGAAACTCAGCACAATGAAAACGCGGATCAGAGGGGACACGGCATACTTGGGTAAAATATAGATGATACCTAATTAACATTTATTAACATCACTATCACAGAAAATCGTCGTAATAATTTCGTTTATATTGTAGTACACATCAAAAGCATTAATTTTACATAGGTAAAAAAACATATAATCACAAAACTAATATATTCTTTGCTTTTTTTGAAGCTAAAAACTGATAAAAGATTGTAGGTAAATACAATTGTTTATATACTAGATAAAAAGTTATGAAGCATAAGAGTTCATGTCTTAATAAGTCAATACTATGAGAATACCAAATTTATTAAGCAAAATGGTATCATACGTTACGAAATCAATATCAATCATTTATTTGATAAAAAGATCATTAGTTAAAACATAATAGTTGTAAGGAAATTTTTGTTTTACATTGTTTTCATGACGTTTTTATAATTAATAGGTGTAATATATTTGATTAAATCACACTTAAAAGAAATGTCCAAATTTACACGTATTGGAAGTTTTTAATGCATACAATGTAAAGGAAAATTGAATAAGTAGTGATAAAAATGTTATATTTGTATACGAATATATATTTTATGGCAAAATTACACCACTTGGATGTTAATTAAAAATATTATACTGACATGTGGAAATTTTTAGATTATTTCTTATTATGCATTTTTTTAAAAATATTTGTTATTTGTCAGAAAAGCATGTTTATTTTGACTAAAATTTTCTGTAACTGTTTAAATAAATGAACATTTACGTCATTGTTATAAACAGTACAGTTGCTCTCACTAAATTTTTTATGCAATGACAATTTGAAGATGTACGAGTACTACTAAAAGTTGTATGAGCGAATAATATAGTAACCTAAGTATTCCACATGGAGAAATCAACGTTAATAAGCAATATCAGTTACGTGCACGAAACTATTAGACGTTAATTTATGCAATACTAGACGTTTTAATCTGAATACTTTCTGAAGCAACCAACACTGTTTATATGCCACCTTTTTATTAAAATAATAGTAAAGGATAAGATTGTTTACATAGAGGAATCTTTGAAGGTATAGCCAATTGGTATCTCACAAAAATATGTGATATTAAAGATTAGAATGTTTTTAAGGGGGCAGTAGAAAGTGAATTCTATAGAGAGTTTGTCTTATGAAATTATTTGGCGCAAACTATACATTCTTCAATGCGGCTCCTTCGGGAATCCTAAAGTTTTCAACAAAATATTAGACATTTCCTTTGTCTACTGAGTTTTCAAACTTAAATTGCCTATTTACCCATATGGCAAATACTGTCTTGTCATACCTATCGTATAACTATTTAAAACGATGTGTAAATCAAAAGAAAAGATCGTGTAGATTTTTCGTCTAAATGCTTAATTATTGTAATGACTCATTAAATATTACCATAATTATAACTAACGTTTAACAGTGGCGTATACAATGTGGTCTAAAGAGGTTATAGTTCCCATAATCCAAATATAACTACTAACTGATACAAGGTATTCAGTCAATAAGGAAACAGGTCAATAGTTACAAATAGTTAGAACAATAAAAACCCGTTTTCTTACTTACTAAACACCTTATATACTTTTGGTGTTAGTCAGAGTTATCTAATAAAAAAAAAGATCTTAATACCCAAAAATATCCTCCGTACGCCACTGATCTTTAATAAATATTTGAAGGCAATTAAATAAGAATTTAATGAAGGAAACTAATAAAACGTTTTAATAATATATTTATATTGTAAATAATATTAAATAATTAAAAAATATTCTTAGAAATTCCTATAAACATTAATTGTACTTTCTTCTTCTTCGTCGCCTTAATTTAAACTACTTGGGGTCGGCCACCTTTATCCCAAACTTCCACTTGACACGATCTCCCACATCATCTACGCTCACATCAGCTGTCCTCATAGAGGACTTAATTGTACTTAAAATTTAAAAATATAGAGAAATATTTTTATTGTACCATTGGTTTTGCAAGAATATTAACTATGATTATTTGTACTGTTAGGTATTAAGAGATTCATATAATTTTGTAAATATTGTTATTAATAATTGAGAATAAATTTATTCTAAGAGTACTTACATCTAAACGGTCATTTCGGGGCATTTTTTGCTGTGTGACCATTGTTTGCTGTACAGCCATTGCTAGCGGGTTGTTGGGATCTGATGTAATGATGGTAGTTGGTCCGATTAATGGTCCAGCGGCGCTGAAGTATGGGCCATATGTGTTTCCTACTTGGGCACTTGCTCCTGGAATTCCAGTTAAATATGCCGTTGGAGTTGCCTGAAAAAATATTTAACTATAAATGTATTTAAAGTATCATAATTCTAAGATTATTCTTAAAATTGAAATATGAAATGTGCAAGATCTTAACACTAAATGACAAGCTATGTTGAGCGAAATCTAGATACGATAAATTGATAAAAAATACTGAACTTGTATCTCATTTGGACAATTAAAGGAGGTGATTATGAATAACAATATAGATTGGGAAGGTGGGTGAGACAATGCTTCACCAAATAACACTATAATAATAAGATTCAGTACACGCTTGCATGGAATCATTAGTTAATGTGAAACTGTTCATATATGTTAGATTATATTTTATTGTTTTAACTGTTACTTGCTGTCGAACTACAGTACTTTTAGTTTTATTAGTTGGCATTTTGTTTTGTCTACAAACGAACAATATAAAGAAATTTGCATATTATTTCCGAGAATAAACTGTTTTATTTATAGTCTCTGTGCCAATCTAATGATTGTTGCCTTCGATATGGATCATTATCAACAATTTCTGACAGCACAGATTAAAAGTTATAACCAATGATAAAATCACTTGTTACAAGTTTAATTTCTTAATAATATTACAGCCTTTATTTTGTATGGTTTTTAATTAAAATAGAGAATACGCCATTAAAACTTAATCATTAAAACATTTTTTCATAACTCCGCTCCAAAAAATATACTTAACCTTATTTTTATCTATTTATAAATAAACAAGAACAATAAACACTAAATTTATTTTGTCTCTACAACTGTATTATTTCTACTTTAATTGTTAAAACTAAAACATATTATTATGTTAAAATAAATTCTACATCTACGACAATGTACTACCGAACAAGAAGTAAAATACAATAATTATTTGTATACAGATGTCCCTATCAGGATTTGACATCTTAAATAACCCTTGAATTAGCGGATATTTTGAGTTACTTTTTTTTCTTCGATTTTTACAGTTTTAGACTACGTTAAAAGAATATTTTTATTATTTGATTCTAAGAAAAAAGAACCTTTTTTTTTTTAAATTTGAAAGTTGCTAATTTTTAACATTGTTTTATAAAAAAATATTGATAGGTCAATAACAATTTTAGAATAAGTAGTTAAAAACATTTTAATATATAATGTGTATGTAGTGTGGGTGGAGTATAAATTATAAATATAATCCAGTACGAGGTGTACCCACGCACTCAATGTATTAAAATTCTTGTAACTCAATAAGTACTCGTTCTAAAGATTTTATCAACCCATAAATATTTTTTAAGAAAAGGCCAAAGAGATTGCTATTTTAAAATTGTGGTATAAATAAAATATTATTACTTAATTATTTTAGCTTCAATGCGAAGCTGAGAAGGTATATATTACTATGATGTGTTTTTTTTTATGTCTGTCGCCACTTTTTCTCAGCTCTCACTAAATTGATTTCTTTCAACCATACGTCAAAATATCACAAATCGTATCTAGTTAAAGAAATTGTCCTTAAAAATTGAAAAAATTCCCCTCAACTCCTGTAAATCCCCCAAAAAATTACAATTTTTTAAATCGGTAAATTTTGACAATATTGACATTAAAAATGTTCCGAAATACTGCGTCCTCTCTACACATATGTTAAATTAAAACTAATGTTACGTACTATAAGTTAAAAAAAAAATTGTTTCAACAGTTTATTTTTTATCTGTGAATGGTTTATGTAATTTTCGTATAAATATCACCTTCTATGGATTTGTAATTTTTTTCTCTTAAAACTACCATAATTTGTTGAAAAATGAATGTTTAATAATACATTTTTTTTAATAGAAAAGTTAGGTAATTTCATTTCATTTGATATAATTTTTTTGAAAACCTAAATATTTATCTACCCAAACGGGGGGATTCAAAATATCAAGAGTCAATTTTTTCAACTTTTGAAAATATTCTGGAAATACTGCGTCTTTTAAATATATGGTAAATTAAAGCTTATGTTACGTACTATAAGTTTAAAAAAAAATTGTCTGAACGACCTATCTTCTATGTGCAAATAGTCGTCGAAGCTAAACAAATTTATTAAATATTTATTATGAATAAAGAAATAGGAGTAAATTTTGCTTTTGGAATAATCCACCAATTTCTATATAATAACTATCTATAGATTTGTATCGAAGTGGTCCTTATGATAGTGATTTTAATCACTGTAAGATATCATCTATACTTGTTGACCCAACCATGCCACGACCATACTGTGCTATCATTTTTTTTATTAGAGATAAATAATTAAAATATATGCTTTAAATGTAATCAAAAGCTGTAAAAGTTATAAAAAAAAGTGAAGCATAATATTAGTTTGATAAAATTTATTAAACATATAAAACCTGGTGGTACACCTTTTTACGATATAACAAGAAATTACTCAATTATAAAATTTTAAAAGAATGATGAATTTTCTTAAGGATACTAATGATTTCACAGAAGGTGCTAAGTAATCAAAGCACACCACTATTTGTACCTATGCATGTTATTTATACTATACTCTTAAACTGATATTCTGCAAGCCCCTCAATTTAAAAGTAAGCGTTTGACTAAATTTTATTTATTAAATATTAAACGTTTCAAATTTATATCCTTTTTAAATATAAATTATAAAATAGATACTGTTTTCCTAATTGATATCTACATATTTTATTATCTTACAATAAAAGATATTTTAATATAATACTTTTTGAATTATGCTAATATTTGAAAGATTATGTTAAAAATTCATAAGCTAAAATTCTATTAATAAGACTATATAATTGTTTAAACTGATTTATGAATTTATATGACATAAAATTAAATTTTCAGTTTATACATATCAATTTTATTTTTTGATTATAAAATGAGGCGATTTGTACCATTATTGGTTATTTAAGTATGAAGATAATTAGATAATCAAAATTCCCTTTTATGATCATCAACAAGCAAGAAAAATGTGTATATTATTACATTTTAAACGATTTTTTTGTTAAACATTTATCATAAACTAGATAGAAATAATGTAATGATTATCTTTATACATATGAAAATTGAAATGTTATTTTTCTGTAAACCTAAATATTTTTTTATCTTAACTAGACTTTTTGTTTATCTATGCTTAACACAATTTAAAAGTAATACTATAATATTAATACTAAAATTAATTTTTACAAATATAAATATAACTGTTTTCAAATGATAGCTTTAATTTTGAGATAAATGTAAAATACCATTAGGATTCAAAGTTTTTTTTTTATGTGTTTCATCCATTCTTGATATTACATCTCCGGAAGTTGAAAATACACAGAAAAGAGAAAATGCTGAGTTCGGCTTTTGCACAGCCGTTTCCGGATTACATAAAAACCATCGATGGAACATAAAATAGATATTTTGAATAATTTGGGGTTAAAAATAGAATTGTAATAATTTATTCATAGAATATCTCTCTAATATATTAAAAAATATTTATATATTTTTTTAATTTTATTGTAAAATTGATTTATGTGGAATACTTATTTTATAAATATTTTAATTAAATAAACGTGAGAATAAAACCGTATATATCAATCTGTTAGGATGTAAATAAAATTATTTCAAACCTAACAGATTTTGTTGAAATATTTCAAATTTTTATCTATTCAAATAATAATTTGGATAAAATATATATTATAATAGGTAAAGGAGATTCACCGAATATAAAATAATTGATATTTAACACGGGATACTATGATATTTAATCATTTTGTCAATCATTTAGTATAACTATCAATACACTGTTAACATTGTTAGCGTAATAATGCGTTTTTCGAAATGAACAGTGACGGATACTTTAAAAGCATGTACATTTTAATCGTACTAGCCAAGTTTAAGTTTTTATTTCGTTTGATATATAATATGTATGAATTAAACAGAGTGATTTATTAAGCATACTACCTCTTATTTTTACGTTAAATGATGATTTTTCAATAAACACGTATAAATTAAAATTTAATTAATTTTTATAAGCCATTGTAAACATCAAGTATATTATAAGAAAAATTATTCCTAAGGGTAATTTTAGGAGTAACTTTCGAAAAATAAATGAAAACTTTATTTTTTTACTATTAGATGGAGAATATTTTAAATAATTTTGATTGTACAATAGCCTGTTTGTATTATTACTTTTTGATATATTAACATCTGAAAATTTATAAAAGTTGAAGGAATCGTTGTTAGCGAATCCTCTATTTTTACAATAATGCACGTATAAGAATTCTTCTTCATTCCGCACCCAGCTCGCCTCATCTTTATACGTTTTATTTATTTATTATGATAAAAAGAGATTTTTTTTTGACATTAAGTAATAGTATAAAGACCATAATTTAAAAACTGAGTTATTTTGAAATTTATCATTTTCTTTAAATATATCTCATTATGCATTATTATGACTAAAAAATATAATATTAACAATACATTTTACTTTAAAGTAATTTAATTTGATTATTACTATTTATTTTATCATAAAAGTGTAAAAACAAAATGGTATTCTATATTCGAAGCATTTTCTCCATTCGTAATTTTATTTTATAATAAAGTTGGGTCATAATTGACAGAATTATGTGCAAGATCTAAATCTATATAAATATAAATTTATTTAATAATTTGTACTTTTTGATAGCATAGAACCTATAGATAAAAATTAATTTATACAAATTTAGGTAACTGCCGATGAAAATTGTATAAATTGTGACTTACAATTCCACTCTCTTCTAAAATAGATATTATATTATAAAAGAATATTTCAAATTTTTATAGTAAAATATTTTATAATTAATTTTTAATGAGTTCTAAACATCACAATTGGATTAATAAGTGAGAGATTCGGATAGTAAGGTAAATTATCAATTTTAAAAACAATATACGGTTCGAATTTTATGTTTTGATATTATATCTGTGATTTGTTTGTGTAATATAATAGATACAAGAAATGCGCATATTCAATGCAATAAACCAGCGAAACGTGACGTCTCCCCTGA